CAACAGGAGAAATGTGAGCGGGGGGGGGGGGGGGGAAAGCTGATATTGAGACCTGGTAAATGACTTGAGGTCTTAGCTTCATTGAAACTGCAAGTAGTTCAGCCTTTCTGAGCTTTGGGTCTCAGTGTGGGACCTGTCCATACAAGTACTGGTTTTGTCACAAGTAAGCAGTTTGCCATTTGCCATGATAGACTGGGCCCAAATTTTTTGATCACCTTTTGAGTTATAATGGCTGAGTATCATGGAATGCTATATAAAACCAGTGAGTAAAATGTTCTCTTTGCTTTTTTCTCATTTTAAATGTCAAGACTGTAATAACTTCTCTTTGACTAGTTTTCACTGGCAGGCATGTTTAGATATCATTTTTTCCTTCCCTCTTTCCACTGTGGTGACTCCTGACTACGTGTATTATTTATAGCAATTTTTTTTCAGTGTTGGGAGAGCAATTTACTTGCAGTTCAACCAAGAAAAGCAAACAAAACTCTTTGAATCCTGGTTGCTTTGTAGCTCTCTGATGAGTTCCGCTCACTCCATAGCACTGTGAGTCCCCTGATGCTCTCCACATGGGCCACTTGAGACATTTCTCGCCTGCAGGGGAACTGGCCGCTGGAATTCTCTCACCAGAACTTCCTCCTGATATTTGTGCTGTTAGGAAAATAGTTCTGCCAGCACCGAGCTAGTCAAACAGGAGTTAGAGAGAAAGCCAAAATCGGTGGGGTGCGTGGAAGGAAAGAGACTAGCTAGAGATGCTTATGATAAATTAAAACAGGTGAAGGTATGGAGGAAGCTTCTTCAGGAAGAGTGATACTGCCACATTTTATGTAGCAATCAAAGGTGATAATTCCTGCATGCTAGAAAAAAAAAAGATTTAAAATGTGCCTAAATTATTGATTTTAATACAACTGAAAAGAGCTGCAAAATGAGTGTTTGGGTGATAATTACCACTTATTTTACTAATGGGGAAAATTGCCATCAAGGGACTGGACGCATTTTAATAAACATGATCTGTCACTGCAGGATTTCTGTCATGGGCAGGTGATGTGGCCCCCACTAAGTGCCCTTCAAGTAAAGATTGCTGAACCTGGAAAATCCTGTAAACAAGTTTGTCAGGAAAGCCAGCTCATCTGTGAGCCTTCCTTCTTCCAGCATCTTAACAAGGACAAGGCTCTGCTTAGGTAAGGAGTTAAAAGCATAAACATATTGTTTGGTCTTTGTTCAGTGCACTTCTTTTTGCCACACATGAAGTTCAGTAGATGAATCCTGTGAGAAGGAAAGGTGGGGAGAGAAGTTCAGGCTGGCTGGCTGCAGCAGGCTGTGGGGTTAACTCTCAGTCCTTTGGAGCAGCAGATGGTAGAAGGTACTGCTGTCATGACAGCACCGTTCCAGAGCATTGTAGTGAGGAGCAGAGCCCCGAGGCTGAAAATTCACCTCCTCCTCCTTGCCCCCTCCACCTCCCATCCCTGCCGGGTGCAGGGCCCTGTGACGGTGGGCTGCTCGCACTGAGCAGAGGTGCTTGTGGGGCAGGGGCGGCAAGGCCGGGGCCTCGCTGCGCTTGGGGGGATGCTCTGCAGCCCGGGCTGAGCGGGTGCCCTGCTCTGCCCAACGGCTCCTGTCCCAACCTGCCGAGAGGCAGCACACCTCGCCGTTTGGCTCCCAGCCTCGCCGTGCCTGGCCACCTGGGGCAGGGCAGCATGCGTTTGGGGGCAGTAAACAGAGCTCTGTGCACACTGTGTGCCTCCTGTCAGTTGTCACCTAACTTTAAATACAGCACTTACAAAGCGTTGCTTTTATTTATGGAACCCCCTCTCTGGTCATGATTAGCACCCATCCTGAAACATCTCTATTCGTTGGCAATTAGCAATTACTGTTTCTGCAAACCTGTTGTTGGTATCGTCCTAGGTAAAGAATTGTAAACCTCTGTACACTGGAGGCGTTAGCACTAATTTATCACACTCACCGGCTATGCATTAAGGAAATTAATGTTGCTTTCAGGTGCTGTCTTTGGGAGTATGTCCGTTTTTCTTTCAGAATGAAAATAAAGCATTCAAAGCAGGGCTACAACAAATGGCTTCTACACAGCCTGCTTCCTAGGTTTTCTATCGCCGCTTTTGGCTAAATTAAATTGTAGAAAGTTTTAATATTTTGTATTTTGTTTGGAAAGTTGTAAGTGCATTTCAGAAGCTGCTCATATAAAAATTTCGTCAGGCTTCTTTTCTAGCTGTCTAGACAAAATTATGAATCTGTGGGGAAAACCAAGGTCTGTTAAGTGCTGAAAGCTACCGGTGTTTCCAGAATAAGCAGATAACAAGCCTCTGCGGGCCTTGCTACCCTTGTGCTCAAGCTTTGCGGTC